AATCATGCCAGTAGGTGGATTTGCAACTTTAAACACATCCCCTGTCAGTTCTCCTGTATAGCAAGGGTGGCACTTCCTTCCTTTCCTCTTGCTACTTTTTTCTTAAATTGATTTTTGACACTGTGGGGCAGGTATAAGAGGAATATAATTATAATACATCACACTGGTTTTACATTACTATTACTAATGTGGTACATTACTAGTTGTTTTTTTTTTGTTTTGTTTTGTTTTGTTTTTCCTATCACAATCAGACTGAAGAAATGGTTCAGTTTCACATCATATGACATGACATTTGTCTTTCTGGGGTGGTCACGCAACATGTGAGGGTAGCACTGACCACCCCTTAGGTACACCATGACCACTTGACTGCAATGCAATTTTTGCTATTAGTTGAAAAAATTTCAATATAACCAAAGGTATATTCTAATCTGTGCTAAACGAGTTAGTATCTGTTTGCTATGTTAAACACAGGACCAATGTGGTACTAAGATTGTCTAGAAGGTCTTCAAGGTTATAATACATTCAGTGATAATTATTACTACACATTCAATACAATTTGGGTGTCTACAAATCATCAGAGATTTTACTAACATACTAACAAGGCAACTATGATTGATAATGGATCTCCATGTTTAGCTCGGAGTACTGGTTTAACTTTTAGCCAAATGACCTTTATGACAGTTTGCACAAGTTAATCAAAGAAATGGTTTTGGTTACATTTTCTTAACACACTGCATCAATACAGGATCACCATGATTAGCTCAGTATCTTAGTGTTTAAAGTGGTCACATGGTCAAGATCTGTAAAACTCGTCATCTTCTACATGAGTAGAAGCCCGTCATGTGAGAAATGATAGAAGAGGACAATATTGCCAAAAAAGCCCCTGTGCAATATTCAGCCATAAAGAAAACCCATCTGACCATGTTGTTATGTTTTATTGCTGTTATGTCACGGTAATTTGCCCCAGAGCCGACATCCAAAAAATCTTATTAGAGGAGAGAGAAACACAATAACGCTCCATAGTGAAGATTCAGAGCTTGAAATCTTTGCTATTAACACTGGGATATGCTGCTTAGGTTGGAACAAGCTCCTGTTCTGTGGAACAGATGAAGCAGAAACATTTGTAACATACAAGAAATGGTAATATGCCTATACGCAGAAAAATAATGGCAATATGCCTATACATAGGAAAATAATGGAAAATTAATTATCTCCCCTTACACTAAATCTAGTTAATCAGGTAAAATGTCTGATGTCCCACATTTGCTTCTTTAGTTTGCACTGGATCTATAAGGCTAGTGTTGCTAAGAAGTAAGTGAAGCCTATAACCACCAGATTAGCATAATGTAAACTGCATGCTTAGGAAGAAGCAGTTAACATTACTGAAGTGTAAAACTGCAATTGTCAAAAGAACAACAAATACAGACATGGTACACTACTACTCTTATTCAGTTTATTTCTGGAAAATCTATCTACATCATTAGACATATGGTAATCCATATAACATTGAGTTAAATGCTTGTCATCACTGCTTGGTATTTCATGTTCGCTGAGGCTAGCTAGTAGGCTACACCAGACCTGAGGCAAGTTGTCATGCTCCAGTCAGAACAGCTGCCTATTTTGATAATTCACTGCTTCATTGCATAAATTCAGTAGAAAATACTACTAATGCTATCATCCTGATCTTAACCAGCTAGGTAATCAACAAGATTTAACAACAAAAACAGATTAAAAGCTCCCCAGCTTTATATGTGTCCTTAAATTGGGGCTTAAATTTTTAGATGTTGACAGTATTTTCATTTCCATCTGGCACAGGTTACAAACAAACGTGTAACTGTTACCATGTGAATCTTTCACACCCACAAACATTGATAAATATGGCCATGGATGATCATTCTACCCAAGTACTGAACTTGGTTCTGGTCAAATACAATAGTTTTTATTCTGTGATTTGATTAATTAAGAAAATAATGTTGAACTGGTTGTGTGAAAAAGGAAAAGGTGGTATAGCATTTTGTTTCGCTAGTAGCTGGTTAGTGGAAAGGCTACATTATTTTGAAAATAGCTCAACTACTGCCATGCTACTAAAATGTAGTTAAGCTAGTAGCGTTGCTACTTGTAAGTGACTACTCGCCAAAACTAACCATGTTTATTTATTCAGTATCTATAACAGATGTTATGTGATTTTGGCCATTGTATGACATACTGTTATGTGTAAAAACATAAAAATAGAATCACTGGTCCAAATGATGTCTTTTGAATGCCAAATTTGATGTAAGGTGAACACTGTGTAAATTTCATCTTCATCCAAATTATGTTAAGGTAAGAAGCGAGGCAGGATTAAATCCAGTTAAACCTATGTTGTTTGTTAGAATTCTTAATTTTGCATGAGATAGAGTTAATAATAAAAAGGAAAAAGAAAATCAGTATAGAGTGTTGGTTTCCTATTCCTAAATGCCACCATTTCCTGTCACAGTTCATAGTTCTTCTCTTCACCTTTCTTCCCATAAGGTCATAAAGACTTTCTATAGTTGTGTGACTCAGCGACTTCTTCTGTTAAGAACTGTAAGGATTAGACAAAGACACATGAACTGAATAAAGGGAGGGATTTAACAGAACATTCTGGATGACCATTTCTAAGAAGTCCCTGCCTTAAAGGTGCAATAAGCATGATTGTTCAAAATTAGTCAAGATGAGGTCTTTAGCAGTGAAGTACTGTAGGTGAAATTCAACAATATTTGAATGTACACAAGGCCATGTCCTCTGAATCCTATGGTGGCTTATAAAGTTTAACTACAATTAGCATGCTAACTAGAGTTATCTTTAGCAAGGACTTTCACTTTCAAGCGCAGTAAATTAGCACTAAAGACATGTGATCTTCGGTTCATGCTGATTTATAAGAATGGTCAAGAGTGCCTTCACGCTCCTGTTTTTCTTTTTAATGAGCTCTCATGAGCAGTTTACCTCTGAGTTAGCATCGTTTGTACGCTAGGCCATTCAGTACCTTGAAATCTAATCTGAAACATTATGAACACGTAAAATTCAACTCGTACTGATTTGTCATTTGCGTGCCTACTTTTCTTTGTAATGAGCTTTCATAAGCTTTTAAGCTCTGGTGTTAGCATCAGTAGCTGCACACTAGGCCACTCAACTGCTTCAAATCCAAGTTATAACATTAGGAACACACGAGATTTTGCACATATTGATTTTTGAGAATGGTCAAGAGTGCCGTTTTTCTCTCCTGCTTTTCTTTGCAATGAGCTTTTAAGTGCTGGTGTTAACATCGTTAGCATTGTGAGTTGCACAACTTACAAATCAGCTAACTACATACATACATACATACTGTACATTACTATGAAGGTGGCTCATCTAAAACATTGTCTTACCTGCTTCTCTAAGTGATAAAACTGTGTTTATTGATTCATTATATAAACAAACAATTCACAGCTTTATAGTATACAGATTATGTTTAAAATACCTGTCCCGGAGCAATGTCGTTACTTCTGCATCCAGCTGATAACAAAAACATTTCATCTTGGAAAATTGCTTTCAGTGTTTATTCAGGGTTTAGTGCCTTTATTGTTGTTAAGTTTTTTTCGAGGCACAGCACAACATTTTGCTCACAGATGTATCTGGCTGCGCTGGGCACTTACCGGTTTCAGCCATGTTTTTTCTTTCCAAACAATTTGAGATAGGGAGCAGTGAAATGGACTTGGGGGTGTGTCTATAAAAAGAGCTCCATGTAAACACAAAAAAAGCATTACAGCCCATAACACAGTTTTACAAATTGGATTTTCTCAGACGCATAATACGCTTGTGCTTAGGTCATGGTTTTAAAAAGAAATGTTTTTATGTTCTGCATATTTTCCGGGTTATTTGTGCTAGAAAGAAATACAAAAACATGACTATTGCACCTTAAAAAGTGACTCCTGTATTTTTCTTCTTCTACAAAGAGACATTGACTTTAGTTATTCTCCATGATGCAGTCACTATTTGTTTTTGTTTTTTTCCGCAGCATTTTGTCAAATTATTTGTAATTAATTTGTCAATTACATAAACGTGCAGCAGGACTGAAAGCATCACTGTTCTTACTGAGCACTGGCAGTATCATTAAAAAAGCACAAAAAAAATTATAGTTTAAAAACAGCTATTAACTATTATTCTAAAGTACTCTTAAGAACACTTTATACACAGGATCTCTTGTACAGGTGGAGAGTGTGTAAGACAGAGGAAAATAGCATTGTCTCTTAGCAGCATCATTTAACGTGCCAAGTGCAACATGTCTTTTTATCTGCAGCCCACACAAGTCGCTCCGTCCTCTTCACTCTGAGTTGCATCAAAAGTGATGATGAATAGATGGGTTTTATGCAACAAGAGTCCACTCAGAGTCCTTCTCTCAGTCTCTCTCTCTATATATGTCTTTTTTGCTGTCTCCTCTACTCTCTCTTGATTTTGCTTTTTTTTATGCTACAATCGAAAGATGATACAGTACAAGCAGTTTAGAGTGAAAGGTCTTACTCAAGGGATTTGTGGGAGTTTAACTCGGTTTGCACTTTCTGGCTTCTCAGTAATATGACATGGTGCATTTTCCATCTTATTAACTTCACGAAAGAGAAAAAAGAAAGACTGGTGAGGGAGTTATAGTAACAAATTACAGGGACTTGTAATTTCTATGGTGAATGCTTCACACAATCTAAGTCTAATGATAAATACATTTTTAAAAACATGCTGCTATTTAACAAATAAAGTTTTTACATTTTTGATATGGTGAACTTTTCTGTCAGGAGGTGTTTAACATTTTTAGAAGGGGTCTCCAGTGTCAATCCTGACCTCTTTAAACCTGTTGAATTCTAGTTAGATATCTATGTTGTGATAATGTTCTCTCTACTCTGTGACAAATATTTTTTCCTTTCCATTTGTTATCTGTCAATAATCACCATTTTCTCATTTTGGCTGTTTTCCTACAGTTACATAAACCGGCAGTTCCAGGTCGCAGGCAGTGCGTTGGCTGGGATTCGAACCCAGTCAACTGCTTGGAAGGCACCTACGCTCAGCACTACACCACCAACGCTCGTCTTCTCTCGCTCGCTCTAGCTGTTTCATTCCCTCTCTTGCTTTCACTCTTCAATCTTTCTCTCTTTTGACTTCATCAGATTGCACAATGTTTTTCATTTCAAACGCTGGTACATTTTAACATTTTAACGTTTCATTCAAACGCTGGTACATCTTAACATTGTCATTTGGAGCTTGATTGTTGATTGAGAAGACTTCGGTACAACATAGATCACTCTTAATGTTCTTAATATTCTGCTTTTTATGGCTGTAGATTAGGGGTGTAACACAGTGACTCTATCTGTATCTGTTTTGTGCTCCAAATATCTGTATTGGGATTTAAACCCTAAGTGGGCGTGGCAAAAGGAGAGAAGCAAAAGGGGGTACATAAAAGCATGTTTAAAATGTGGCAGGATCTATAGCAGAATAGAAATTAGGTAACCCATTCAGGGTCCAAACAAATAAACACTGAGCTTTGGGTTCCTTTTACATTAAAAGATGCTGAAATACTGAGCCTCCAGGATTACAGTGCAACATGGGAGGTTTTACAGCTGTAAAAATAGGCTATGAATAAAGGCAGAAATAATGATAGATATAGAAAAAATAGACATATTTATGATTTTTATAGTTTATTTATTATATGTCAAATGCACATCAATATCAATTAAAATATAACACTTCTTTTTTTTTTTTTTTTAGACAATCTTTTTTTTAGGCATCTTTCTTTCAGTGGAGTCAGACTGGAATTTTTTTTACTTTTGTGGTAACCAAAAACAAAACCAAAGTGCTAGACCTTTACTTGTGGTTGAGAAACATGTAAAAGAGAAACATCTTTCATTTCAGGAAAGTCTGTAATTTTCAAAAAGTAAAGTTTCACCGAGTGACATGCTTTCCCAGGCCTCCATACACATGCTTGTATCCAAAGTGACTTACAATTGAGCTGAGTAGATGAAGCTTAAGTGCCCAACAGTCACAGCACTGGGATTTCAATCCAATTCAATTCAAGTTTACTTGTATAGACAATATACATTGTCACAAAGCAGGAAACCTGACGTAGATTTAGGTCCATTATATGAACAAGCCAGAGGCAAGAGTGTTGAGTAAAAACTCCTTGAGACAAGGAAGAAACCATCCCTATCGTCACGCATGAGAAGAAATGTTTTAGCAAGTTATTTTTCACAAACTGATTCCTATAAGCATCACAACATCCTTAATGATGGAGTCAAAAAGAAACTGGAACGGACTGCTAAAAGATGGAGATGGTGGTATGGGGCTCAAAGCAGACTGGAGAAATTCATTTAGTCATTATCGACTTCTAGCTGGGAAAAAAACAACCTTAAAGGAACTTGCCTAATAACTGTGCAACTAGTGTTTTAAAAATCTGACTTTCAATCTAATCATGTCATTCTTAGGTTAGCATTTTAACGAGGGTGCGGCGGGTTCCATTTCAACAGGCCATTAAAAAAATTTGCATGAACCTCAAATTTGGAAAAGTTAAGAAAAAAAAACTTCAAAGTCAGCTTACCAAGTGTGATAATGAGCGTGCAGGAACACGAAGCAGGGATTTATTTTCAGACTCATATCTAGTAGTGAAATGTCCAGGAATTAAGAAGGGGCATAAATGAGGCCTGTGGGATATGAAATGTTATGATAATTTAGTATGGAGTATTTCTATTTTATCAATTAATATCCATAGACTCTTTTCTCCATCCAAACAGAATGTGTTCAGGAAAAAAAATAAATTACTGAAGAGTCAAATGGGAGAAAATTACCTGTGACATTTTAATCCATGTGATGTAGCCAAGTGAGGGGAATGGAAATGTACATGTCTCAGTGCTCAGTGCTCGCAGAACTGAACTGCTCTCAAACCCATTATGAAATTAGCGATCATGGCAGATACCACACAATTCAGCATTAGGCCCCTTTGGTCTCATTGCTAACCATTACAAACCCAGGAACCAGGAACTAACCCTTAAGGTCCTTGTTCAAGTTACGTTGTTGAGCTCGTTAGCTATTTACTGCGATAAGTCATTCTAGTAAAAATCTGTCCACTCTGCAGCCTTCTTGAGCTCCTGGAGAACTATTTTCATTTCTACAAGACCAGGTTATCTACTTGAATGTGAAGAGACCCATATAGAAAAAAGGGATTGCCAAGATGGCATTTCAAAAATGGATTTGAAATCCTTACTAAAACATGACAAAAATGGTGTTAAACTGCTTGAAATATTCAGAAACTCTTGACCAGATATGAGGTCATACACATGTAAAATCCTTTTAATACACCATAGGTGTGGATGGTACATATGAGATCTGTAATTACATTAAATTTAATTTTATGGTATTTACCCTACACACAAACACACATGCTCAGCACTGCATGTATCCTGGTGTGACCCCACCAGCTGGCTGTTCTTCCCCCCCTGCTGAGTGTGTGTCCTGCAATCTCTCTCCTCTCTCTCCTCCATGGGAAGCTGCCTCCTGTCTTCCTGTGTGTGTGATTTGAGATGACAGATTAAGTGGCTTACCTCTCCTCTGGGCCTGCTGATCTGACATGCTTATTTTTTTTTCTGGGTGAAGGGAGTCAGCGAGCACCACGCCTTGGAGCGAGTCGTGGACAGTGAGCTGGGATTGGGACGAATCCCCAAACACAAAACCATGCACTATGTCTTACTGATTCACCAAACTGGTCTGATGATAAACATTATCTTTGGGGACATTTCATCTGTCATTAATCTTCAGTAAAAACTTAATCCTGCACAGGGTCACGGTGGATCCGGAGCCTATCCCAGGAACACTGGTTGCAATGTGGGAATACACTGGATTGGACGGCAGTCACCTCTGCATGCATGAGATCACAGTCACCTAAGATTGACAAGCGTTGCTGTGATTGACAGGAGAGAGAGAGTAAGGCCATCCCTCCCATCCAGAGAGCACAGCCAATTTTGAACTCTTGCCCCCGGCCACATATGGCTGTGGTGTCACCGGGCTTAAAGGCCATTAGCATGTTACTACTGTTAGCAGGGTGCAGAGTGAAGGTGTGTGAGGGAGTGTCTATAAAATGGCACAGGAAAGCCATGTAAACACAAACATGCATTCTGGATCATAACACAGTTCTCCAAAGGGGTTTTCTCAGCTACGTAATTCTATTCTTCTGAAGTCATGGCTTAAACCATCGTTTATTCACATTGTACATATTTTTCCAGCTTATTGATATTATTAGTAAGAAAACAAAATCGACTATTGCAGCTTTAATTAGGTTTTAGAGTACAGCTTTTAAGGTACAGTCGTTTAAGGTTTCGTATTTCATACTGCCTTGTTATTTTAAAAAACTCAAAAGGTGCAAAGTATAGAGAAAATGAGTGAAGTTCAGTGAATGAAAACACTCAATGGTGATGTTCTAGCCAACAGTGAGGAAATCTGGAAGACTAGGTCAAACCAAAGCAAACACTCGGACGGAGGCATCCATCCATCTGCACTGCTCTCCACGGGGATGTGAGAGACTCCATCAGCCTGACAGCTCTCTTCTGCAGGAGAAGAGATAATTGCAGAGGGACTGGTGCAACTTCACTATCTATCAACACTCAGGCCGAAACACGGCGTCGTTCTTCTGCTCGATCACTTCCCTGTAACCTTCAGACATTACACTCTAGAGCTAGAAGTACGATTGTTTGGCCCCACTAATGACTAAAGCACCACAGGATCTCTGAGAGTCCCAGAAACACAAGACCATGTGCAATTTAAAACACATACACACTATATCCTTCACTGGTATGTCACCTCCTTTACACTTTTTCACAATATTTTTCACATGATCTCTATTTTAAGAGATATAGGAATAGCCTTTTAGGAGATCCAGTGGCATTATGTCCCAATCTAACAAATGAGTATACATAGTCAGAGTCAGCTTGCATACTGAAGGTGATTTCTGAGTGGCTCATTCAGATTATTCTCTCCAGAGGAGGACCCAATTTTAATTGCGACTTTGATGTTTGAAAGCAAATTCAAATTTTATGACATCCTCATACTGTATGTTTTAGCTAATGATATTACTCCTTTCTTTTGTTATCCATTTTTGCTCACAGCATGACAATAGTTCTGGGGTTGACCATACATACGATAATAACTCCAAACCTTCCTTTATTTGCAAAAATCTGTAAAAGAAGAGAAGTAGATTAGAAAAGAGCTCATAATAACCTAGAGATCAGAGCTTTCTCCTGAATAAAGCATCTAGGTTTTTTTTGTAATCGCTGACATTTAAGGCTGCACTTCTGTGGGTTTATCAGGAGGATCACACCAGTGTACACGGCGGGATGAGTAAGCCTCTCGCTTGTGTGTCTGTGTAGAGGAAGTTCTGGCACTGCATAATGCGCTCCCATTTTTAGCTTGTGGAAGGAGGTACCTTGAGGAAATTCATTAGTGGCTGTGATAGTGGTGAACAAGACGATCATGAGGATTAACACTATGTAAAAGAAAGGGAACAGACAAGGATAATAGGTGGAAGATATGATGATGTTTGTTGATATCATGATTAATTATGTAACAATATGTTCTTCTTAGAATTTCAGTGTATACTTGTATGTGTATATGTGTTTATTAAATGCAGGAATCAAAAACTGTGTAAACTCAGCATGCTATATTATGGGTAATCCAAGAATCATCAACAAAGTACATAGCAGGGGTTAGAGCACAGGCAGACAGCATATTCAGACAGAATAATCTATTTTTAAAACATGTGAGGGTCAAAACCAGGAAGTACACGGCTACATAGAGCTTGAAATATACAGCTTAGACACAAATTGGCAGAGAGAAATAGATACAACAGGGCATAAATAACTAAAATCATCTAGAACCAGGCACAGAACAGGCATACATAATCAGGTAGGAATGCAACAATGACAGAACAAGGACTGAAACAAGAGCACATGGTAAATGTAACTAAGGCACATGATGTGAACTCAAAACAAACCAAAAAACATGTGCACTGACAGGGTGACAGTAACCAACACTGACCAAATCACA